GGTCCAATCTAGTCCGAAAATGTCCGAAACTGATTTTCAATCAAGGGTTAATTCATGAAAGATCTGAAATTAATAATTTCGATTTTAAACAAACACAAATCAAATATGGACTGTTCGCACCACCTGCAAAACAGAGGTTAATCACTAGGGTTGCAGTTTCCCAAACTACAAATCGCAGAAAGCGATTTCTCCATCTGCAAATCTCCAGCGCCGCCTTCTTCTTCCTTCTTTAATCAAGAAAAAAAAACAGAAATCCTATTTCTATTAATTAATTACATTCTTGATCAAATCCTATACATTCAGTCTAGAAAATAAAAAAAATTATTTATAGACCGAATTGAATAAAAAGGATAAAAGGAAAAAGGGTGCGTAGACCATCTGCGCCAAATCTGCACTGCGATCTCCAAGTTCGAACAGTCCATTAAATAAAAAAAAATAAAGAACAGTTCTAAATAAATTTTGAATTTAACAAAATTAATTTCAGATCAATCGCCCTTATCAAGAAACAATTTCTTGAAAAAAAATAAAACAATCTGCGCAAATCTTGGCAGAACATCTTCTGTCCATCTGCGCAGGTTCAGATATGATTTTCTTTTGGTTCAAGATTCGAACCTGTGGCTCTGATACCACTGAAAGAATGGTAGGATCCATCTAATGGACGCCATGAAGGTTGCGGAATGGGTGGGCGAATTTCAAAAATTTTCCTACCTTCTTCCAACTGGGAATCATATTCCCTAAATTCAGAATACAATATTCAAGGATCCTACTTTAACCATAATCGAACCAGATCTAAACCAAAAAGGAAAGGGAGGAATTATACCTGATCCAGAGAAGCAATATCTCCCAAAGTTGGTGTTCACGCCCAAAGAGGACACCAAGATCCGCTCCTGCTGAAGATGACACAGCTGTATGTGGAATGGAACCAGCAGAGTGCGTCCTACACACTGGATCCTTCGCAAGAATCCTCTGGAAACTCTGAGCAGCAAATCTTTTTCAGTGTTTTCTGCAAGGCTGATGTCAAGAAACAGTTTCTTGATTTCTTTCTTCTTCAAAGATTGAATCTTATAAGAAAGGATGGCGGCGGTTGGAGGAGAACTCCTGGGACGAAGATGGCTGAATAGCTTCTCTTTTCTCTGGAGTCTGTATGAGATTCAATCTCAATTCGCAGGATGCTCTCTTGCTTTTACAAAACCCTTAGGTTCGAAATCTGATATTGATTTCTCTCTTAGAGTTTTTCCTCCTTTTCTTCTTGATTAAGAAACCTCCTAATTAGGAGTTATCCCAATCCAAATCAATATTTGGATAGGGGATGATCTTAATCCTATCTGCAGATTAAGTTAGCTTACTGCTGATCTTATCAGGAGGTTACCAGATTCAAATCT